TCTTGGCATTTCCTTTGACAATTTTAAAGGAAGTCATAGTTGGAAATACTCATGACGATATAGTTTAACCTAGCTATAGTAAACCTATAGTTTACCTCTCAGATTTGCTCTTAATGAGTTATGAACATCTCCATAGGATAGCGCTTGAATTATATTGCATCTCATCAATGACTGCTGGACCACTTACTTTTGCTGCTTGTATGGCTGCATGTGCTGCAGGAACAGCTCTTGTTGGAGCACCAGCTTCTGCTCCTCCTTGTAGTACACTGTGTTTAGCCACGGCCACTTCATTCACCAGCTGAACAAACACTCTTCATTATTGACTTATTATTGACTAATTTTATTCCAACTTAACTTTTCGTCACTCACTACTGATTCTATGTTAGAATTGATCCCTCCTGCTGAGCTTTGAACAATTCTTGTGCAAATTGCTCATTTTCTTGTGCAAACCTCATTTGAAGAAATCGTACGAAAAGTCAGTACTTGCACAATACAAGTCAATAATGAAGAGTGTTTGTTCAGGGGATGAATGGAGTGGCCGTGGCTAAACACAGTGTACTACAAGGAGGAGCACAAGCTGGTGCTCCAACAAGAGCTGTTCCTGCAGCACATGCAGCCATACAAGCAGCAAAATTAAGTGGTCCAGCAGTCACTGATGAGATGCAATATAATAATAAGATGAATAAGGTAATAAGACGACGAACGGCCAAATATCGATCATACAATGATGAGTCGTGCTAACCGCGGTCGCTACTTCGACTTTGCTAAAGACTCTCATCAAACGGTTTGACTTGGAAATTAAGAAGTCAATTATGTTCGAATGATCAGAAAAGACGGTCATAAATGAGAAATTAAATTTCTTAATTTTTCATAAGAGAAAATGCCGAGATAACTATTATTTGAATATATGAAGTATGTTAAATGAAACAATGATGGCTCTTGGCAATTTCCTTTGACAATTTTAAAGGAAGTCATAGTTGGAAATACTCGTGACGCATGGATGGATTACCTATTGTTCTTTTCAATATTGTTATCAGGAAAAATTCATACTTCTTCCACAAGAATAAATATGAAATCAATATCTATATATATTAACGAAAATTCATCGTCAGAAAGCCAGCTACTTCACATCTACTAACCATAAATTATAA